TGCTGCTCGGCCCAGGGCCTGGGCTGGGGGGCGGGGGCAGAAGCGGGACTGGCCGGAGGACTCGTGTGTGTGCCGGACTCTGTCTGACCTTCCGAGGGGAGCGAGGGGCCCGCAGGACAGGCCCGCGGGGGACGCGGGGCGGGATGGGAGGGCACGTCCCAAACAGCGCAGAGGTTCACAGTCCGGCTCTACGGGGATGGAGGGACGGGGGCCATTCGCGGTTCTGGAGGGGCACATACTCGGGGGAAAACCCAGAGAAACCAAGCGGGTGCGTACGACATCACACAGTGAGTGTCCGCGGGCGCCGGGCCCCGCCGGGCGCTTCAGGTGGGCAGTTTGGGCTCTATCCGGAGAGAAGACTCGTAGAGGCTTTCCTCGTCCATCACTGAGGACTGGTCCAGCAGATACTGGGTCACCTGGGGTGGAGACAGGGAGGGTGGCAGGGGCGCGGGGCCTCCACGGTACGCTGCCTGCGGACACCGGGGTCTCCCGGGGACCGGCCGCCCTTCTGGGGTCGGGGGTCGGGCTGGCACACGGGGCAAAAAGGCCCGAAGCAGCGTCTCGTCTCAGTGTTACGTTTTGTCTTAGCATCACTCTGCCATCGTGTCCCTGTTCCCGTCAGCGGCGAGGGAAAATCACGTGTGGTCGGAATGACGCTTGGGCGCTGCCCTGTGGCTGACCACGAGACGAGCCGTTTGGGGCTCACGTTAAAGAAAAAAGCGACAGATACGAAATGTCGGTTATAGAATCTGGGCGGTGGGCGTGCGGGCGCTTACGGGCGTGTCAGCGTGTCTGTGTGTTGGAAACGTTTATGTAAACATTGGGACGGGTAGCGCTGGAGGGCACCGTCTGAGAGAAGCGTCGAAGGTTCTCGTGGGGATGAAATCATTCTCCTCCCTCCCCCCTCCCCGCCTCCCGCTGCTCCCAAGGGTTTTGCTGGATTCCCGCCTCACGTGGGCAAGGAGAGATGGGGGCCCAGGCCTCACAGGCAGCCCCAGCTTCAAGTGGGGCATCTCCAAGGCGCGTTTATTTGCCAGCTGTTCGGAACCAAAGGTTAGTTTTTCCCACCCCGTCCCAGAGCAGAGGGAAGACAGACACTGTTTTTTCTTATTTGCTGTTCGGGGGTCTTCTGATGGCTGCCCGGGCAGGGGGAAGGTGCGTTGCGGCGTCTGGGCTCAGTGACTCTGCGGTGTGAGGGTGAAGCCAGAGGCCCCGCACACAGACCGTCAGCCCCACCTACGAGGGTGCTAGGTCCGAGCAGCGGCTCACAGCCACCCCTCCGGGAAGACGCATTCAGGTGTCACAGTCCCGATGATGCACACGAGGTGCCTCGCGGCCACACGGAACAGCCTTCCGTGCCTCGCTAGTCGCTCCCTGGCGACAGCCCTGCCTAGAGCAAGGAGGTCTGAGCCCCCAAACCTATCTCCGCAATGAGCGTGCACAAGCTCGATTTTCCTAAGAAGTGCCGCCTTAGCGGGGGGCTGGCAGCAAAGACCATGGCTGCCAGCCGCTAAGGACAGGATCTGAAGAGCAGTGACGTTTATTTGTGTGACACGTCGGAGCTCGAGGGAGAGGTTAAGGAGAAGGGGCCCAAGGCCCAGCTCGGGGCCTGGCACGTAGTACGTGCTCAATAAACACCTGCCCTCTGAGGGAGCACGGACGGGGCCCAGGAGCTGATTTTCTGCTGTGCCTAGGGTGCGTCTGCAGCTGGATGTTTTTCTGAACTGCCAGCTAGAAAGTTAAGATGCCGAAAATGAAGCCAGCAGGTCTCTGGGCAGAGAACAGAGATTGGGAGCGGGAGTCGGGATTAGCACGTCTCAGCGGTGTTATGTGTAAGACGGGGCTAGGGATCGACATGCCAGCCACTCGCCATGCCGGCTTCTAGAAACGCAGGTGCTTCCGGTTCTGTCAGCCCCGCTCGGAGCTTCTCGTCGTCCTGAGAACAACGTCCCGGGTCCTAGGAGCCCATTTCCCGTCTGGTCCAGGCTGCTCCCTGCAGGCCCTCTGCACCCCACCCCACCCCACCCCACCGGCCGTGGGGTCAGACGCCAGGAATGGCAGGGGAGCGGGGCGGCTGGGGGTCCGTGTGCGAGTCACGCGCGCCCTCCGTCACTAGTGAGTGTGCTGCCTTGTGGGGGATGCGGTCAAGGCTTTGCCGTGGGGGGCAGATCACACGCGATTGTCCACCCTCCCGGGGCTGCCGCACCCCGGACAGGGCGGCCAGATAGCACGGGCCCGGTGTGAAGTGGGGACGAGGAGGCGGGGGCCCCGGGGATTCAGGGAGGGACCGGGGTGGACGTCCGAAGGCGGGAGGGACCGGAACGTGCCGCGGGCTCACCTTTGCTTGGTGTTCTATTTTGTAGGCCGTTTGTTGAAACTGGCGAATCTCTCGGATGATGTGGGATATCTGTGGCAAGCAAGGAAAGTTCTAGATAAAGACGGGTTGCTTTCTTAGTGCCACCCCCACTCTGCAGGACAGAAAGGGCCGTGGCAGGCGAGTGTGACGTCGGTGTCCCGGTCCTCACACGTGTCACCCTGGGAGGCCCCATGGGGGCATCTTCACCGGCAGTCTGCCCCCCAAGGGGCTGCTCGTCACGAATCTACAGTCAGTGATACACGTGGCCGAGAGAAAAATACTGCTCGATGAGCCACGCAGGCCTGTTTAGCACCCTCAGACAGCACCCGTGGCTCCAGCAGAGGTCACAGGCACCGGCCACAGTCTGAGTGCTGGTGTGTGCAGCTCCCGCCCTGTCACCGGGAGGGGGCGGCCGTCACCTCAGGGGAGCCCACCGAGGGCATGCGAAGCAGAGGCTCTGTGGCTGCGGTGAGAGGCTAGAAGCCAGTCTCCCTGCTCGAGGGGTCCTCCCCCTCTGGGCCCCAGGATTCTCTGGGGGAAATTTGACACCTACCCTCTTGGGAGGTGCTGCTTAAGGGACTTTGTCTGAGGCCGGTTATGCGGATGGGGTGCGGATGACTGACAGGGTTCTGGACCCGCCTCTGCCCTTTACTTTGGGGTGACCGTGGGCTGCTTACGGACCCCGCAGCCCCAGGGAGCCCGTCTGGAAGGTGCAGAGTACCAGACGCCCCCCCTCAGACTGTGGCATTACATGAGGGTGTGCAGGGAGGCCGGTCAGGCCGGATGCTAAGTGCTCGTCATTCAGGACCCCACACAGGCGCTACCAACGGGGGAGCTGGGGCCTGGGGTACGGGTTTGCGCCCCCCCACCCTCCCACGCCGTGGGAAACGCACCATTCTCATCTTGGAGAAGTTGACCAGGCCGTCCTCCGTGTAATTGGGTGTCCCCTCTTCAATGAAGGCCAGGTCGGTGAGGTACATCCCCAGGTAAGGGACACAGGGCGGGTCACAACTTGGAAGCAAACGGCATTAACACAAATTTTCACTTAGAAACAAGAGGCTCTACCGAGCTCACGACGCCCACGGGCACCTTCTGCTTGGCCGGAGGCACCGGGCTTCTGACCACCAGGCGTCCTCGTGGCTCTGTGCCTGGGACAGCCAGTCCCCTGGGGGTCTCACCAACCACCCCCCATGCACAGCCAGAGGGTTCCCCGCCCCGGAGTCCTTGGGCTCTGCCGCCAGCTCCTGTCTCTCCTCAGACGCTCCGTCCAAACCCTGCCCTGGCATCGCTGCTTCGCAGCCCCCACCCCTTTGCCAGTCCCCTTCTGCTCCGGGGGCTTCTCCTCTGCCTGTGCCTCGCCCGCCGGGACCTCCTGCCATCCAGCACCGGGGCGGGTGCCGGAGCAGGAAACCCTGCCCTCTGAGTCACCTCCCTGGAAGCGGCTTCTGGGTGACCGCCTCGAGGAGGAAGGGGACCACGTGTCTGGGAAGTGGAGCCCGAGCGACGGGCCACGCCTTTCCCTTTGGGCGCTGAAGCAGGGGTCCTGTGACTCTGTGTCACCGCTTGCTCTGGGGCTTCTGGGTGGGGTGCTGGGTGGGGTGCCGGGTGGGGCGCCGGGCCCTGCAGCCTCCTCTCCACTCGGCACGCGGTGCAGGTGGACTCGCCGTGCACCACGGGCGACCTTTGTTTCTAGACCGTGTCACCTTGGTCGCCTTGTGGCCGCTTGGCGACCTCGCCAGGCCAGAGGCAGGTGAGGCACGGAAACCCGGCCCCTGTCACTCGCCTGCTGGCTGTGTGACCCTGAGCCCGGTCTTTCCCTCAGGTCCCCCCGGACGATAGAGCTGACGCTAAGGCAGTTTTGGCGACCTGAGAGCCCGGACACTCCAGTAAATAACTCTGATTCCTGGGAGACGGCGCATCTGGCGGGAGTCTGGCTCTGAAACTTTCCAGCACTTTCCATTCTCCGTCCCGGATGCGCATGTCGGCAAACGTCAGGATCCGGCCAGCACGGGACGATGTAGACACTGGGTTTGCCTAGTAACCTCGTATTTACGGCAGATACGCTGGTTCCTCATTTGCTGTCACGATATGGAGTTTTCCTTCTCATTTAAATGTATTTGGGGGGAGCGGATGGACAGGAGCCGTGGCGTTTGGGCAGCAGTGGGCGGAAGCGTTTTTCAAACTCCAAGTCTTGACCCTTTCATGGGTGTTGAAACCAATTTCGTGGCTGTTGACCGGATTGTTTTTAAAAAGTAGAATAGAACGGAAATGTATGAGCTCGTTGTGTGGACGAAAGGTGTGTGCGGCTTTGTGAAATGTTTGTCCCTGTTACGCGTCTGTGGACGTTTATACGGGGCCACACTGTCAAATGTTATTATTATTTTTTTTTACTATGGGTTGTGACCCCCCCAAAAAATAAATAAGTAAAGCTAGGGTCGTCCCGGTCCGTGGCGGAGCGCCCTCTGGTGGTGACGTCTTGGCTTTTCACGTCCTGTCTTGGCATGTGGAGCTGAGGCGTGTGGACCTGACAGAGGACTAGCTCAGGTCCCGAGATCTGAGGACAAACTCTGGTGGAGGGGGTGGGGGTGGCAGGTTCTGCTGGTGCGTCCCCCTCCCCCCGCCACCCCGTCCTCTGGGGTGGAGGAGGCGGTGTTCCTGAAGGCCCCGTGGGGTCTCACTGGACCCGCAGCCCCGTGGAAGACATCGGGGTCCTCTAGCCACCATCTGGGTTTCCCCGAGGTATTTACTGAGGCTCGTGGTCCAGCCATGTGCAGCTTAGTCACCTGCCGTGGCACTGCCAGCCCCAGCCCCAAACCCTGTCCCTGTTTGACGCCTTCTCAGTGAGGGGCCGTGCAGCAGGGGCCTAAGGGAGCAGCACAGTTGATCTGATCTCACACGCGTGCACACACGCGCGCGCGCACACACACACACACACACCCCGCCAACCCAACCAGAGCCGTGCTGGTAAATGTGTGGGTTGCCGAGTGGCCACGTGGGCAGGTGTGGCGTAGCGGGGACCGCCGTAGGGGCTGGCCCATGCTGCGCGTCTGAGCAGAAGGGACACGGGCAGACGGCCTCCTGCAGGCAGAGCTCCCCTCTGGCCGGCTTGGAACTGCCCTGCAGGCCTCTGACCCCTGGTGGTGGGGTCCAGCTCTAGGCCAGGGCCCACCCAACAGAGGTGACCCCAGGGGGCCTTCCTCTGTGGGCAGACCCCTCACATACCTTTACCTGACATTTTAGGAGGTAGGGAGATGTGGCCCCCTATTCTAGAAGTTGCCTCTGGTTTTCCGGGCACGCCCATGCCCGCGGCTGTTTGGAACCCCCCAAACTCGATGTTCCTCTCTCCCGAGAAATTCCTGACGGCGTCAGTGGGGCCTGGAGGTCAGGCTGTACCAGGGACTGAGGGACAGTCACAGCTGCCTGACTGCTGAGCAGAAACCCCCAGGCTGGGGCGAGCAGGTGCCACCTCTCCCTCCTTCGCCCTGTCCTGGCTGTGGCAGGGGCCTGCGCTCTCAGAAGTCCCTGCTGACTCGGGGATGTCCTCTCCTCCTGGGGAGCAGGGGGCTGGAGCCCGTGGTCAGGGCTCAAAGCTCTGGCACCGGGAGCAGGAAAATCAGGTGCTCAGATTTGGGGGAAATGTAGTGAGGGGGTGTAGGGGAGGGGCTCAGAGCCCTGGCTTTTTGCTCCCGGACACTAACTGCTCTGCCCTCTCAGCAGCGGGGGCTGGCTGAGGGTGCGTGGAGATGGCCTGGTGGCCGGCTGGCCGCCTGGCTCCTCCATACCTGTCCCCGTGCTTAGTTCAAGGGAGCCAAGGGGAAGGCTTCCACGGGGGGTTTGCAGCCACAGCCTGGCCCCTGGTTCCTCTAAATGGAGGCTTCCTAGTCCACAGCAGACAGAGGTTCAGGCAGGCTGACATGAGACGGGCAGGCGGACCCCAAATCGGCCCCAAAGGACCGGCAACCAAACTTTGCTGTTAACTTTAGTTCTCGGCCACATTTTGCTGCTTGTACCTGTGCAAGGTCCTGACCACTGGGAGGCTGCAAAGAGGGGCCGGTGTCACAGGGGGGACGGTGTGATCTGGGGCGTGAGAAGGGCAGAATGTCCCTCTCGGGGTGCCTGGGCAGGGGCGGAAGGGGCTAAAACAGCAAGCACTGTTGGCGGACAGGCTGGGGGGAAGGGAGCTAGGATTCAGGGCGCCGTCTTGGCTGGCAAAGATAACAAGGCCGTTCACTAGCTTGGTGCTTTGGCGCTGGCACGAGGCTGAATGATGACGGGCCGAGAGGGGCTGAGGACTCACGTGGGGAGGCCCGTCACGGGCGTCCTGCCTGCACGGGCCACCAGTGGCGCCCACAGACTGCCACCTCACATCCTGCACCTGCTGTCCCCTGCCTGGCGAGACGGACGCCTCGGGAGAGAGGCCTCTCCCCACCCCGCAGGGCTGGGCCTCGCCCCCCTAAGGTGAGAACACGGTGGGCACGCGGCTCTGCGCCCCCGGAGTGTGCAGCCCCTCCCCCCGTGCAGGACGGGCACTTACGCGGGCCCACGGGCACCCTGGGAGAGGGAGGACAGTCGGGGAGGGGGCTCAGACAGAATGGGGCCAGCAGGCCGTGGTGACGGTGGAGGCGGCAGTGGACGAGGGAGCCATGTGGAGGAGGCGGATGGAGGCGCCGGGGGCAGACGGACAGTTGGTGAATGCACGGAGGGGCAGCTCCCCACAAGCACAGTCCACAGGGGGAGAGACGGCCGGACAGCACAGATGGGTGCAACAGCTGTCTGAGGACACAAATAAAGTGGAGATGGTCAAGGCGATGGGACACGGAGTGGGCGAGGGACGGGCCAAGCACGGCAGGACGGAACTGAGGCTGGCGGGCGAGGCTGGCGGGGTGTGCAGTGAGTCAGGGCCGCTGTCGGGGGCTGGAGGGCGGACCGGGCCCATCCCCAGGCCCGGGGCGTGCGGAGCTCCGGGGGGCCCTGCTTCTGCAGGGATCCAGTGACCCCTCGAGGGGAGGAGAGGCGTCCTCTTGGGCTCTACGGGAGCCAGGACCCAGGGTCTCCCAGCACCTCCAAGGTCTAGCAAGTGGCCAGTCAGGCAGGGACAGGAAGAGTGAGGGCCGCCCAGCGGGGGCACAGTGGGGACAGTGCACATCCCGTGGGAGTGGGCGTGTGTGGCCACGGTGCGTGCCGAGGGGCCTGGACCCTCACGGGAGGCAGCCTCAGGCGGACCAGAGCACTGGCCTCGGGGGCCAGCCTGGGCCGAGGCCGGCTCTGCCCCCACAGCCACTTGTCCTCGGGCCAGCTAGCTCCTCTGTTTCCTCGTCTGGCAAAACAAGAGGGGGGAGTCTAACAGCGGGGTTCTCGGTGAGGCGACTCGGCCGCCCGGGGCTTGGTCGGCAACGTCTGCAGACATTTCTAGTGGTTGTGACTCGGGGCGCTGGCATCTGGCGGGTCGAGGCCAGGGAGGCCGCTGAGACCCTGCAGTGGACCTGAGGTCGAGCTGCCCACCTCGCAGACACCGGCGAGGGGCGCCCTTTACAGACCGAAAGCTGCGATTATTGCTGTCAGTGCATTTCTTTGATTCTAAGATGACGTTGTCTGTAAATGCAGCGAATTCCCAAGTGAAAAAAGGAATCCTATTAAATAAACACGTTGACTTGAAGACATATCCCAATGTCAGAAACATTAAAATGTAAAAAAAAAAAGTGCATTTTAGAATCAAGGAGTCTAACTAAACCTGTCGTCACGGCCACCACGCTCTGGGGACACCAGTGTTCTCCCTGTGCCTCTCTCCGGAGATGCCGCCAGGACTCCGAATGTCTCTGGCAGACGGTGGAGGACAAGGCTGACCCGCCCTGGGGGTCTGGGACGTGTAGGGGCCTTGTGGGTAGACAGATGGACACACAGACAGACAGACGTCCTGCTTCGGCCAGGTGGGGTGGTGAATGCCTCTGCAATGAGGTTCTACGGTTTAAAGGATGATGGTGGCAAAATGACACACACTTACTTTTTCAGAGCTTCTCTCAGATTCTTAAATCTGCCCTCTGATGACACAAGCTTTTGGAGCTTGTCAATCAAAGCTTTCGTCTAGAAGGAAGTAGAAGCGGTTACTAGCACACTCCGCACGCTCCCGTCCGCGGCTCCGGAAACACATTCGCTTTGCCCGCCACGGCCGGCGGCCTCGGGGACGACCCCGATCTCGGAACCTGGACCCTAAACTCCCGAGGACTCAGACACAGGCCCTTGTTTCGTGTGTCTGGGCTCGTCACACGTCCTTCGGAAACACGGGAGTGGTGCCTGGGGGGCCGAGCGTCGGGATCCCGAGGCCCAGGTGGTGGGGAAGGGCCTGGTGGGCGTCCCCGGGGCCGGCACCCAGAGCAGGGAGGGGCGCACGTCTCACTGCTATGATTCCTCTATGGACTGTCCCCAGGGGATGCGAGCACCTTCACCTTACTACATGAGGACACCACCCGAATTTGGAAATCAAGGACAGCAAACAAAAGGCCTCGGTGGCTTTGGACTCTGTCCTCTGCTGGTGTCTGTCCAGCCCCTGAGCACACGCAGGCCGAGGCTGGGGCATCAGCAGGGGCACCGAGGACACGGCCCAACCTTTCGGGAGCACTGGCCCCTCGGCACCCAGCACAGGGGACCTTCATCCCAAGGCAGAATCCATTGTCATTTTTGCAGAACCGAGTTTTGGATGAATAAAGCTCAAGCCACATTTACGGTCACCAAGCACCTAGTGGGAGGCTGCGACCAGCTACGCTCTGCTGGCCAGAAGGGCTGGTGACATTAGGGTCCCGGGGAGGGAATCGGGGGGTTATCTGACCACCTCTCAGCCTCCCACAGGCCGGACTGGGATCCCTGTGAAGCCACCAACCACCCTTGTCCCAACTCAAGCAGAAGAGTGCTGGGAGCAACGATCGGCAGCTCGCTGTCCCCGCTTTGGGGAGTTACTTATTCGGGTAGAAAATAAAAGACCCAAGGGTCCCAGTGCCACGTCTGCGGGCCTGGTCTCTGGTCCCAGGGGACAGGAGCGGAGGTTCCCTGTGGTGCCTGGGAGTGCCGGCCCCCACCCTGACCTGCACCCACCTGCGGACGCCCAGCCCCAGCCCCAGCCTTCTGCCCACACCTGCTTGGAGACTTTGAGCCACGTCTTTTTCAGCCGGAAGATGGCGCTGCGGTTCATGGACGAGGTGATCTCCAGCACGGCGTTGTAGTTGTGTAGGCAGCGGCATATGTCGGCCACGGCCACCCACTTCTCGATGGCGCTCGCCCTGGCGGTGACGTCCTCGTTACGGACGATTTCTGAAGCAATCAAGTTACTGATCTTCAAGCCCATGCAATGAGACAAGCAAGACGTAAGAGGAATAAGCATCGTCGAGGGGACGGATCACCGTCGTGTGCGGATGACACGATCGCGTGCCGGTTTGAAAATCCCAGCTCAGGGAAACCACGAGCACGGCCAGCGGAGCTCGTCACGGTGGCGGGTTAAAGACTCGACGTGCACAGGGGAAAGGTCTTCCTCCGCACCGGGGACGCCGGTGACAGAGAGTGGGAATCTATAGATTACCTAGGAATTATGTGAGGTAGTATATGAACCAAAAAAAGGGTACCAAAGGTTACAAAAGGTTCGAATAACGAAGAGAAAGATCGACTTCCCCAACGGAAAGGTGAACTTGCCCTTGCTCACAAGCGGTACGTGATCAACGTGACCCCAAATGGAGAAATACTACAAGGGTTCTCTTCCAAACCGACGAGATCCACTGGCACCGTGTCCACTCAGCGCTGCCCTAGGGGCTGGGGCTGGGGACATAGCGGGAGCACAGCCACCGGAGGGTGAGGGGCCCCTTAAACGCCGCCCACGTGGGCACCCCGCTCACCCCACCCGAGTCCTGGGAAGTTAAACGTAAAAGGGCCGGGAGCGAAAGACGCCGCGTGTTCTAGCGGGGACGGCCGAGAGCCCCCCCACCCCGTGCCCAGGGCGGCCGTCCCTCTGGGGGCAGACCCCGCAGGTTCACGTGGGCCCGCCTGCTGGGTGGGGTCGGGGTGAGGGTAACCCTGAGCCCCGCCTCTTCTCCCGTAAAGTGAGGGAGACCGCGTCACATGAGACCGTCATGAATAAAGCCCTGAGCACAGCGCCCGGCACGTGGCGAGTGTGCGGCAAATGCCCCTCCACACTCGTCCTTCGCTGACCAAGCCCTGGGCACACGGGGCCGGGGGGCGGGGGAGGGCGGGAGCTTCCTGCCGCCTGGTGCCGCTGCGGGTTGGGTGGGGTGTGTCCTGGGCTTCGATGGCCTCCGTCACGGGCTCGCCCCCTGGATGTGCGGCTCTCCGTCCTGCCGCCGTGCTTACTACAGGGCTGCTCCCTGGGCCTCTGTGTTCCCCCGGGACCCTCCGAGGATGAGGTGAGGGCCTGGGGCACGTCCCTCGTTGGGGCCGACGTGAGGTGGCCTGGCCGGGCGCTCGGGACAAGGGGGTCATGTGCTCCCGCTCCCAGCCACCAAAGGCTCTTCACTGTGTCGATGAGTACACTCAGGATGCTGCCTGCAAGTGCCCTCCGGCCTGTCACGAGCCTGGAGTGGGCGGCCGGGCGCGGGGGCGGGGAGCTCGGGCAGGCCTGGGGACCGTTTGGGAGGGCGTTGTCACGGCGGGGGCTGTGCGGCAGGCGGGTGCCAGGGCAGTTCGGGCACCCGCCGCTCAGAGCCCCGATTCCCTCGTATGTGACACTGGTGTCAGCCCTGTCTTTGGGGCTGGGGTGTGGTTTGAGCGAGGGGATCACGCACGAAAAGCCTGGTGTTGGGCACAGGCGGAACATCGGCGAAGGGCAGTTGTCACTTGTAGTAAAGAACAGAGCGAATGTGGGTCCCCTGGGATGTGCATCACGCCACGGGACGCGGCACCGTCTGGCCCCCCGTTCTCTGCCACTGCCGTGTTTCCCGGGCAGAGCTTCTGGGAGCCAGGGCGTGCGACGCGCTCGTCCAGGCCCTTCCCGGCACACGCCGGGCCGCTCTGCTGGTCCAGGAGACCCAGCTGGGGTTTGGGGGTGCTGGTGTCCAGATGCTGTACCGCCCTGATCCCCCTGGGGACACGCACAAGCCCCTGGCCCAGACGCCGCCTCGGTCCCCAGGCCAGTGGCCCTGCTCCCTTTAACGTCCTCTGGTGGGCCACAAGCGCCCTGCCCCCCAGCAAAGGCAAGAGGGGCCCCGGAGCGTCTTCGGGAGACTGGGCGTCCTCGCCGAGGCTCCGCAGGTCCAGAGGCTTCGGGAGCAGGCGCGCGTCAGAGGGACGTCGTGTGACGCTTTCAGTCCAACGTCACTTGCTTCCACAAACAAGATGAGTGAAAATGAGGCACGCAGCACGGGGTCCTCAGTGCGGCCTGGCTCGAGAGGCGAGGTCCTAGCGCCCCCAGGCTCAGCCCCTCTAACAGGCGGAGAAGCCGAGGCGGGACACGCTGCTGGCCCTGGCCCCCTCGACGGCGTGGGGCTGGAGAGGCCCGGCGTCGGGACGGATCCAGTGTGCAGCCTGTCGTGTGTGCAGCCCCCACCCCGC